TGGGTCGGTCCCGTCGGCGGCGCTTGGCAGGCCGCGGTCCCCACCCGGGCGCGGGGCGGGCGCCCATGGTGTCGAAGGCCATGCCCGGGTGTGTGCGTGTCGCGGGGGAGACACGAGTGCCGCAGCGGAACCCACCCAAGGTCGTAAAGTGTCACGCTCGGCCACGCCCCCCTCGAGGCTCCGCCCAATGGCGGAGGTCGGGGGTGGTGGTGGTGGGAGGGTGGTACGCCCGTCGCTGCGTTGTGATTGGTGGATTTCTGTATGCGTGGGGGGCGGGACGGCGTAGGGAACGGGGATGGGGGGAAGGAAGGGGGAGAGGACCAACTTTTACGGCCTGTGAAGGCGGATCGACTTGGGGTGGGGGTGGAATCCCTGTCGCAGGGCCCCAGGTTCGAATGGAAGGAGCTCTCACTGGGAGTCTCCCACCACACCCCGCCCCAACGCTCTCCGGGGCGGGACTCCCCAGTGGAGACCGTCCTGACTCAGCCGCCCGGAACCGCAGCGCTGGGAACAGGGAAGTTAGGGGAAGAAGATTCCAGGTGACCCAGCAAGGCCAGCCAGCGTACTTCATACAAACAGACCCATGTATGCATAGACAAACATACGTATATACCTACTATATACAAACACACATGTATGCATAGACATACACCTACACATACTATATACAAATACACATGTATACATAGACAAACATATATACATACTATATACAAATACATATATAGACATAGACATAGGCACATATATATGTAATTGGAAGATGCAAATTTTTTCCCCCAGCTCCTGGAAAAATACTTTAAGTATACGAAAGCAGAGCGGGAGTTCTGGTAGCCTGCCTCCTGTCATTCTATCTGCGACTCAAGCTGAGATCTGTGCATCTAGGATGGAAGCAAGCTCGGGTAGAAATGTCTGATCGGTTCTTATTGCCAATGAAAAAGCCAGAAGTGGAGATTTTTCAGCTCGAGTTGCTAGTAGCGCTTCCATCTAGTAAACAATATGAGCCAAGAGTCTGATTCGCTCATTTTGAAGTCCCTGACTTGGAAATTAAAAAAAAGAAAGGAAAAAAAGAGAAAACGGTTATTGTTTCTTTCTGAGTTTTAAAACCTGTAATAAAATTGTTTAAAAATAAAAACAATAGGGGCTGGGAAAGTGGCTCAGTGGTAGAGTGCTTGCCTTGCATGCATGAGGCCCTGGGTTTGATTCCTCAGCAACACATAAGCAGAAAAAGCCAGACATGGGCACTGTGGCTCAAGTGGTAGAGTGCTCGCCTTGAGCTGAAGAGCTCAGCGCCCAGACCCAGAGTTCAGGCCTATGACTGACAAAAAAAAAAAAAAAGAAGAAAGGAAAAATTATTTGGTACTTATATAGGTATTCACCTTTCTATTACTTTATATTTTTTTGTCCCTTTGCTGGTATGAGGGCTTGAGTCTGCTGCACTCTTTCCTTTCTTATTCATGATGGGTGCTCTATCACTTGAAGCACGGTCCCCTAGTTCTTTTTTTTTTTTTTTGCCTGTCATGGGGCCTGAACTCTGGGCCTGGGCGCTGTCTCTCAGCTCTTCAGCTCAAGACTAGCGCTCTACCACGGGAGCCACAGCGCCACTTCTGGCTTTTTCTGTTTATGTGGTGTTGAGGAGTCGAACCCAGGGCCTTGTGCTTGCAAAGCATGCACTCTACTGCTGAGCTACCTTTCCAGCCCGTGGTCCCCTTGTTCTATACTGAGGAACTGCATTATTTATTTTTGTGCTGGTACTAAAGCTTGAACTGTGGGTCTAGGCATTGTCCCTTCAGTTTTTCACTTAAGGCTGGCACTCTACCACTTGAGCCACAGTTCCACTTCCAGTTTTTTAGTAGTTCCTTAGAGATGGAGTCTCATGGACTTTCCTGCCTGGGTTGGCTTTGAACCGAGATCCTCAGATCTCAGCTTCTTGAGTAGCTAGGATTACAGGCATGAGACACCGTGCTCAGTTACTTTTCTTCTTTTCTAGCAGGATGGGAATGGTACAAAAGCTTTTGAAGTGTGTAAGAAAACCCCTGTAGATAATACCCTCTATGATAAGAATCTTTTCATTGTATGAACCCACCATTTAGCTTCAAAGGATATTGGGAAAGTTTAGGTAATTTCCAATTTAGAGAAGCAGACATTTTTTCCTGGAAGAGAAGACATGGATTCTATAAAAGTTGGCAATGGCTATCATCTTGGTGGCTTTGGAATAAGGATTAGACAGTTTGTACAGCTTAGAAAACCAAAGAGAGTAGTTGGGAAGGTGGCTTAGTGGTAGAGTGCTTGCCTTGCATGCATGAAGCCCTGGCTTCGATTCCTCAACACCACATTAACCGGAAAAGCCAGAAATGGCACTGTGGTTCAAATGGTAGAGAACTAGCCTTGAGCAAAAAGAAGCTCAGGGACAGTGCTCAGTCTCTTAGTTCAAACCTCAGGACTGGCAATAATAATGATAATATAAAATAAAGAAAACCAAAAAGGATACTTCTTGGATCAATTAAACTCTCAGGAGAACTTCATCTGGTCTTTTTGATAACCCACAGCAAAGCTTGTCCACATGAATGCTGGTTTGGTTAAGAACTGGATTCCATCAACCGATGAAACTGATACTACAACTTGGGTTTTGAACTTTGAATAACTAGACAATGGATTCAACTCAAGAAAATAGGAAAGGGAGTTGCCTGATTTCATATAAATGACCACAGAGATTTCTTACCTGCAACACTAAATTTCATGACTAGTAACGTAGCAATGGCTACGTGTAAAAGTATATTGGCTTTTTCTTTTAGAATTTCAAACTCAGCTCAAATATCGTCAGTTTTGCAGATATGATGGAAAAGTCTGCTGATATACAAAAACTAATATTTATCATGCAAATCCTGTAGGGAAGAATCTTTAAAATGTGTAGCATAGGCTGAATGAGGATGCATGTCTGTGATTTCAGTATTTGGGAGGCTTTGAAGCAGAATTCCAAGTTTGATGCCAGTCTAGGCTACATAGCAAGATTTTGTTGAAAGAAAGAAAAAAAGGGGGCTGGGAAGGTGGCTCAGTGGTAGAGCGTTTGCCTTGCATGCTCGAGGCCCTGGGTTCGATTCCTCAGCACCACATAAGCAAAAAAAGAAAAAAGCCAGAAGTGGCGCTGTGGCTCAAGTGGTAGAGTGCTAGCCCTGAGCTGAAGAGCTGAGGGACAGTGCCCAGGCCCAGAGTTCAGGCCCCACGACCGGACCCAAAAAAAAAAAAAAAAAAGAAAGTATTTGCTGGTACTAAGGCTTGAACTCAAGACCTGGGTGCTATCCCTTAGCTGGTTCAGCTCAAGGCTGGTGTTCTACCACTTGAGCCACAGCTCCACTTCTAGCTTTTTAGTGGTTAATTGGAGATAAGAGTTTCGTGGACTTTCATGCCCAGGTTGGCTTTGAACCACTATTCTTAATTAGAATTATAGGAGTGAGCCACCAGCGCCAGGTGTGATGGTTAGTTTTGATCATCAATATGATTGGCTCGAGAGATTTGTAGGATGTTGATGAAGCACACATCTGAGTTTGTAGATATCTTCTTTTTATATGTTGATTTATTTTCCCTCAAATATATATCCAATGGTGGTATGGCAGGGTCAGAAGGTAGGTAGGTCTGTTTGCAGTTTTTTCAGAAATTAACATTTTTTCCCGAGATATTTCCATTCAGATTTCCATAGTGGTTGCACAATTTTATGTTCCCACTTACAGTGTATGGTAATTCCTTTTCTCTCATATCCTTACCAACATCTGTTGCGGTTTGTTGTCTTAAAAATATAATTTTATTGTTATTATTAAGGGGTTGTACAAAGGAGTTACCATTTTATAAGTCAGGTAATGAGTACATTTCTTTCTGGATAGTGTCACCCCCTTCCTTCACTTTCTCTCGGTTTTCCCCCTCCTGTCCATGCCCATATTTGTTGTTTTTTTTTTTTTTTTGGTTCTAAGGTGAGTGTAGGTTTGATGTGCATTTCCTCTATTGGCTAAGGATATTGACCATTGCTTCCCATATGTATTAGCTATTTGTTCAATTCACTTAAAGACTGAAATGGTAATAAAGACTCTCAGTAAAGAAAAGCAGAGGACCACATGGATTCACTTCCAAATTCTATCATACCTCTAAAGAACTAACTTCAGTATTCTTTTTTTTTTTTTTTGGGTCCGGTTGTGGGGCGTGAACTCTGGGCCTGGGCGCTGTCCCTCAGCTCTTCAGCTCAAGACTAGCACTTGAGCCACAGCACCACTTCTGGCTTTTTTTTCTGCTTATGTGGTGCTGAGGATTTGAACCCAGGGTCTCATGCAAGGCAAGCACTCTACCACTGAGCCACCTTCCCAGCCCAACTTCAGTATTCTTTATTTTATTTTATTTTATTTGTGAAGATACTGTACAGAGGGGTTACAATTACATGGGCAGGATAATGCGTACATTTATTACCAAGCATTGCAGCCTCCTCCTTTTGTTTACCCTTCACATCCCTTCCCAGCCTCCCTCCTCCCCCCCATAAACTTCAGTATTCTTGAAGCTCTTCTGTAAAATAGAAATGGAAGGAATACCACCAAACTCATTCTATGCTTATTATGCTTATTCAAAAACTGAACAGGGACACATCAAAAGGAATTAGAGACCCATTTCTCTAATGAACACTCATGCATAAATTCTCAAAAATGTCTTGCAAACCAAAGTCAACAGCACATTAATTTCAAACATCACGACCAAGTGTGCTTCATTCCAGAATGCAAAGATGACTTAAATTCACCAATAAATGTAACAGACTATAAAAAGTATCAAGAACAAATATTACATAATCATCTTAGTTTATACAGAAAAAGTCTTTGACAAAAATCCAGCTTTTTATTTGGTCAGTCATGGGGCCTGGGTGCTGTTGCTGGGCCTCTTTGTGCTCAAGACTAGCACTCTACTACTTTGAGCCACAGCTCCACTTCTGGTTTTTAAGTGGTAAATTGGGGATAAGATTCTCACAGAGATTTTCCTGCCCATGCTGGCTTTGAACCCTGATCCTCAGATTTTAGCCTCCTGAGTAGCTAGGATGACAGGCATGAGTTACCAAGATCTAGCTCTAACACTTTTTTTTTTTTTGGTCCAGTTGTGGAGTCTGAACTCTGGGCGTGGGCGCTGTCCCTCAGCTTTTCAGCTCAAGGCTAGGGCTCTACCACTGAGCCACCTTCCCAGCCCCCAGCTCTTAACACTTTTAAAGGAAAAAAAAATGAAGAAAATGCAACCAGAAGGCATTCCCTTTAAATAATATGGCTGTATATGACAAACACATAGCCAGCATCATATTAATGGGAAACAACTGAAATAGTTTTCCCTAAAATCAGAGACAAGATAAAGGTGTCCACTCTCCCCACTTTTATTCAATAAGGTACTAAAATTCCTAGGCAAGTCATAAGGCAGGAGAAAGAAAGATTTCAAATAGGGAAGGAAGATGTCAAATCATTTCTATTTACAGATGATATTCTACCAAATAATCCTACCAAAAACCTTCTAGGACTCATAAGTGCTTTTGCAAAATTAGCAGATCCAAATCTGCATACACAAATCAGTAATTTTTCTTTTTTTTTTT